TGATGTGCACTCCTATCCACCAGAGGGCGGTGGATGTGGTACAACCAGTCTGTGCTGGCCTAGGTAACGCCCTTCTTCCCTTCTTCGCGGCTCTTGTGGCTCACTGACAACAGCACAGACGCCCACAGACCGGTTGTACCACATACTTTGCACACTGCCCCCATGCGACAGCAGGGCGCTCTGCGGGCACACAGACAGCACCGCGGGCGGACAGTCCCGGGACTGCCAGCGGACTGTGAACACGATATACCTGCGGGACCATTAAGTCCGCTCCTCGGTGCGCTGTTTCGGGGATTATCCGCCACAGAGACAGGTATGCTCCACAGTTTGATATGCGCTAACCGATCAGAACAGCCTGCTATCTGCTTGTAATGTTTGTGTGCAGATGTCCTAACTCTATCTGACAGTACTACACAACTCGCTTCCTGATGGTCCTAAAATACGTATACAGTGTTTCGAAACACTGTATACGTATTTTACACGTGTCTCTCAGTGGGAAGACAGAAGAAGATCTTCTTCTGTCTTCCCACTGAGAGACACGTCGCAAGGAAAAGGGAGATTTAAGAATTTAGAAATAGTTAAAATGATTTCTTCCTCGTGAATATAAAAGTATACTTTACATGTCTCAAACAACCCTGGTCACAAGTTGCACATTTGCTACAAGGAAATTAAAATGAGATCCTACGGACTTAAGTTACGGTACTGTGTCTGAAAGTCTGATTCCAAATAACTTGTTATTGTCCTCATAAGATTTTCCAAAAAAAGATGACCTAACCCCCCCAACAGTCGTGTGTGGATGGGTCAGGGATTCGTGAAATCTAACTGTGCTCCTTCCAGCGCTCGCTCACATGTCACACACAGTGGAAAGAGGGGACAACCAAGAGTGAAATATACTCTTTAGAGTTTAGATCTACTATGTAAATTTAAGATTTATTTTGATGTTAAACATTTGTAAATGCTGTGAAAAATATAACATCGCATTTTTTAAAATGTTGTTTGGAGCTAAATTTGCTAATATGTCGCTTTAAAGGGTGCATTTGTAGTGCACAAAAGCTTAACAGCTATATGTATTTATGACAGCATATCATGATTTCCCACGCGTCCTGTTAACGGTTTTCCTTGTCCCTCCTGTGTCACCCCATCATAACATAATAATAAACATACCTCCGGTCGGTAGGTCACATGGCAAGGTCCAGCTGTAGATCCTTAATGGAGTCATTTCAGGAAATCTAATGCAAAAGCATTGTGTAGCCAGGCTGGATCTGTAATTTAGCTGCTTCTTCCGCTTTCAGGTAATACAAGCTAAAGTAAGAAAACGCAAAATTAATGCAAGAGGTAAGAAGTAGTAGAAGAAGTAGTTCTTGAAAGTATTTCCTGCTGTATCCCTTCTGGACCCTGCTATTGTCTCCACCTGAACGATTTGTCTATTAATCTCCATCTCCTTTACACTTCAAATATATTAAACAAATACATGTTATCATGCAGACTAACACAGCATCTTCATCTGTGGATTGAGAGAGGGCAAGATGGTGAATTTCAGCCTGTGGGCTCTTCTGCCTCCCATCTACTCTGTTTGTACTGCTGCTGGACTGTTGACGGTGTAAGTTTTGTTCTTTTTAGGAACACATTAACCTCATATATACACTAAGAGAGGTATATGAACAGTTAAAAAGAGCCAAAAAAGCAACAAAGATAACCAGATTAACTGGTTATTATCTGTGCACACTCTGTACTATTCAATGAAATTCAATGAAATTCAATTTTATTTATATAGCGCCAAATCACAACAACAGTCGTCTCAAGGCACTTATACTATACAGATACCCAATAAAAGAAAACCATGAAGACACCAAAAAGGATCACTTGCAACACAAAACAGCACTGACACAAATATCTATGTCTGATAAGCAACTAAAAAAACACAATATCAACACAGAGACATAACGACTAGAAAGAAATGTGTAAAATGAGCAACAGGAAGTCAAATATTAGGGACGAATAAGATTAACCAAAGAGAGATTAAAAATGATAAGAAAAACATGTGACACACAAATCAGAAACTAACAAGAAGCACTCCGACAGCCCAAACCTGCACCAAGGCAACTCACTCTCTGAGGAGTATTTACTTTTAACAGAACCGCTTTGTATTTTGGTTTTCTTTGTTCTTTTTAAATGGACTTGAAGAAGTTTGTAGTGCAATAAAAATGCATTTTGGTTTCAACTTGAACGAAAGGCAAATTTTCTATATGTTGACAATAGACACCACACGTATAAGAGTCATAGTTTTGAAGTTATAAGGCTTTTTGTCACTTTCCAACCAATAATTCTCGGTGGATGTAAGTCAAATTTCATCGGATTGTTACCATCACCCCACCCTACACCTACAAAGTTTTATCAGGATTCATTCAAAACGTTTTGAGCGATCATGTTCTCAGACAGAATGACACGCGTGTGCACACCCAACCTGCTAGGGAGGGTGGGTTATGTTTACCAGTAGGTTACCAGTGAAAGACTACAAGAAAGGGAACAAAAATGGGAAATGAAGATGAAAACCAGATGATAAGAGACTATGAACGCTGGCGTCACATGAAAGTATGTATGTAGACGAGCAGGTCATGATCGAAATATTTCAAACCAGAGTAGTTAAAAAACAAACAAACACACACACCTCAGTATTGCTTCCACTTTTGTTACAGAATGTTTTATTCATTATGTTTCTTTCTGTGTTGCTGCCTTTAAAC